AAAAAATAGATTTTTCATATGTTTTACTATGTGATCGACAAAAATTACGTAGACTTTTGTCCAGTGAGTGTACATAAGCACATTTCTCAGCCGACTGTATATAACTGAAGCCATTGCTTGTAAATAAACAACTGACAGATAACAACAACGCGAAAACTTTACATTCACGTATTGTGTAACATACTCTGTTTAGTATTACAGGAACTGATTTTCCGATTGACTAAGATTGCATTTCAAATTGTGTCTCTATCATTTCTCATCCAAATCAAATGAAACGTTGAGCATATATATTCAAAAGATTCTAAACATATTTTGTTAGTAGCAGATTTGATGTCAACATAGCTGATTTTGACTTTACAAATAAGCAAAGGTTGAAGAAAAAATCGGCGAAACTGGTAGACTAATTTTAATCGTTTTATTGAACAGAGAAACTGAACGCTAATCAATAGAAGTTACAAAAATATATGTAAAATGATATTGTCAGCAAGTTTAATTAGTACGTAAAGTACGGTCGTATTAGTAAAATTTTTCGTATAATAATAATTTACAAAATTTTGTACCCGGTCATTTATGGGAGGGCACTGTACATTGGATGAAGACCTGGACCGAGATCTTAAAAATCTTGCAATAGAAGCGATGTATCAAAAGTACCCTCTATACAGACAGCACAGGGATATCCCACGTGCACCCAATAAAGACCTTTGAACAGATAAGGAACATGTGATCAAAACATTCATCTGTGATATTTATTATTGTTTAACAATAACATTCTCTCTTGTCATTTCTTTTGATTATTTAGTTTATTCATCAAACATAGCAGTGGTAAGACGCCTCTAAGTATGAATTTTGCATCATCTCGGTTTTCATCTCGGTCTTCATCTCGCGAAGACCGTGATAATGAATGATCATCAACGACTACAATTATCAAAGACGCGCCCCTCAGTACGGTACTGATTATTGTGACTATGACTTTGGGTCTATTGTTGATATGTTAGCAATAATACTGTCAAAGCATTTGATAACATCAAGCTTCATCGCTATTATGGTACTTAATTCCATGCGTTTAGTTTTCATGTCGAAACGTAACGTCCGATTGCTCATGTTACGACACATCTTATTATTTTATCCTCGCTACTCAGTTCGTAACCCGCAGGCTCATTATCACATCTAACGTATCAATCGTTGCTTCTAGGTAAGTAAGTACCTTCATGGAACCACAATCCCCAATCTTGGAACATGGTGCCAGCACTGCAGTTATCACTAGTGTGATCGGGAACAGCAATTCTAATCAAAGATGGGACTGTGTCGAGAAGGATGGTTAGCCTGGCTTGATCTGTCGTGCAAAGTTAGCATTACCCAGGACAGATTTCGAGGTTTGCGTGTAAATAGCGCAATATCCAGACCAAGTGTCTAAAGAGAAATAAATGAAAGACATATCAATAAAGTTGGTTTAACATCGTACTGTTCAACCCTGACAACAATCTCTCTTCGACTTACTCTTTACGGCTCCCTTTCCGTCTTACGAGAACTGTTTAGTGCTATCCTATTTCTGGTACTGGTGGAAAGTGCGAATCGATCATGAGGCGCTTGTCTCATATTAGTGAATTCTTCTGACTGAACACCCGACCAATCCAAAAACAGCAACACAGAATCTTAAGCGTCAATGCCAATAATGCCCAAGGCCAAAATAAATTACAACCACGTTATAGCATTATTATTATAATCCAGGCCGTCAGTTTATAGACAAATGACCGCTGATCATAAGAATTGATTGACGGTACCTCTCTTCCATTCCCACATTTTCTCTCTCCATTCTCACATATCATCTCGTCAACATACTCTTCGAGCTCTGTACGGTTTTCAAAGATCAATATTCTTGCGATTACACAGATGAGCTGTTCTGGTCCGTAGCGAAATTCAGCCGGATTCAAAATCGGACCGGCCCAGTTGAAATAAGCACATTTTATTTCGCTATTATCACATAAAACAATGGTTATGATGTGTCTATTGCGAAACGGGCAGGATTGCGCTACGGGCCAGAACATGAGCTTTCATTCGAGCATAATAATAGTTTCCCAAGCCTGATCATTTTCATAAATGACAATCAATATTGCATCCGTACATTTCGGCTTTCGTGGCTCTACTACAAAATCGAAGGCCGAAAATCTTGTACTATATTAAGACATTCTGGAGATTAGAAGAAAGATCTAGAATCATCTGATCGACGTTCCCTAACGTAACAAATGCGATCATCGATAGTACGCGTAATTTCTCAATTCACGTGCCATGTCCAATAAGAATCCCACCACCGTAAAATTTTTACTATTTGGAAAAAAAAGTCGCAATATCTTAATATATCGTTTGCGCACACTGCATCATAATCTTCCAGTCCCAACTCTCGAGAGTTTCATAAATTCGTAAGCATAAGCTTTCCTACTGCTTATCGGTGATATCTTCACTAACGATATCAGACACTGACTATTTCTCTGTTTTACAATCTCTAGAAATCACCGTGTTTTTTTCAGCAGTTGTGAAGATTATAAGCGACGCGATATTTAACAAGCGACTCAGGTTAGTTGCAGAGACAGCAGTGCTATGTTATTCTGTGGATTAAATGTTAACAGTAAAAGAGATAGCCGTTATTAAATATCAACAGGTAACATTTTATTTGTAGCAAACAGTTAACTGACGAGCGTGAAAAATACTAGTTTTAAAGGACGGGTAAGCCCATAACTGTACATATTGCCTTTTGTCGTCTTCTGAATATGTTTATTTTTCTTAAACTCATAATATTTATTCAAATGCTCAACAGCAGACCTTTTCATCTTTGAGCAGAACGTGCTCACGATTTCGACTCCGGTTTCTCAAGTTAAACGGCTTTTACTTGAGCAATCTGGACATACCTCAATGGAGGTGGGAGGTGTGTCTGGAGAAACTCCGGAATTTGGACATACCTCAATGGAGGTGGGAGGTGTGTCTGGATGTTGGAGGTCTCTTCAATGGAAATACTAATACTTGTACATAAGCGCAAGTATTTTACATAAAAATATACCTCGGGCTTAAGAAAAAAGGCCTTGGGTATATGTTTTTAAACATATTAAGCGTTAGATTACTTAAACGAATCGTTTACTATTACCTGTACTTAATCTTTTTTATGTATAAACAAAATTTGTCATAAAAAAATCAAAACTCTATTACAGTAAAGAAGCAGACCACAGGCAATAACAAAAGTTGCAGAATTAGAGACTGCATTACAGGAAGGATGGGGCAAGCTTTCACGAAGTCAAGTCATGGCCTTGATAGAAAGTATGCCGCGGAGAATAGAAGCAGTTATTGCAAACAACGGATGG